ACCGAAGTATATAGTGTTTCCGATTGTGAACGCGTCGATGAGTTTCGGTGAACTCAAAGCACAAAAATCAAAGCCTGTGTTCACCGGTCCCGTCGTGACAGTCGTTTGTGCCGGTGATGAACTCGCAGCGGACGCTCCCGTAGCACTAACTGCCGGTGTCTGTGATGCGGGACTACCACCTGATTGACCAGTGGATGCACTGCCAGCCGTTGTTGTGCTCACACCCGATGACTGAGAAGCAGGACTCGCAGCTGATTGAGCAGTGGTTGTGCTGACACCCGATCCCTGCGAAGTGTTACCGCCAGGGCTTGTACTGACAGCCGATGCACCAGTGGTTGTGCTCACACCCGATGATTGAGAAGCGGGACTCGCAGCTGATTGACCAGTAGTTGTACTAACGGCCGGTGCTTGAGATGAAGGACTCACACCTGAAGTGACAGCAGCTGTACTGACCCCCGAAGGCGCTACTGAAGTCGATTGTCCCGCAGAGACGCTGACACCCGATGGAGTGGTACTGACACCAGAAGGTACTGCTGAAGAACCTGCAGCTGACGGTGCAGATGAAGAAGGGCTCGACTGAAGAATCACACCATTGATGGCAACCAAACCAATCAATACAAGCGATGGATACAGAGATAACATCTTTTGGTTTTACAAAATGATAACTGAATTTATTTAAGACTTTGTAACGAATTTTTGTTTTTAAATGAAATATATTCACAATAATTGTGATAATTATTTCTAAAACTGTGTTCAATAATAACTTTTTGAATATTTATATTTCATGTGATATTAATTATTGTTTAACTCATCTTTTCATTTAGTTGTTTAATTGAATTCATTGTTACTTTGAATACAGTTTTTAAATTATTTACTAAATATATTTAAATAAATCTTAAAATTAAGTTCACAAAAATAGCAATTATTTAATTAAGTTTTAGGACTAGCATATTACCCGTCCTGTAACCATTATATTTTGAACAATTACATGACCCTGTTCCCTAAAACCTACGCTGCCCACCCATACCTGCATACCTAACTTAACCTAACCTAACTTAACCTAACTTAACCTAAACCAACTTAATATAATATAAACAATATAAATTGAGAGTTAAACTCGCTTATAGAAGGGTTGGGTAAATTTCTCGGGGCGTTGATTATACCTGGTAGTCATAGGTACATTGCCCGTAGCGTTGGTTATACGTGGGACGCCTGGGTACATAACCCGTGGTGTTGGGTATACCCGGTACCCGTAGGTAAATTGAGCAAGTCATTGGTTATTGCCTGAGACCCGTTAGTACATTGGCCGAGGCGTTAGTTATAGTTATACACCTGTTTGGTAGCCCCGGCCATCATAAGTACCGTATTAAGTGAGGGGACGTTCATGATTATTTACTTTGTTTTCTCAATGGGAATTGTGGCCAACAATCACAGCCCCTCGCGCTTTCAATTTGGGATCAAAACGGCTTTTTTAACAATTAAAATCTCACACGCGCTCGCATTTGTCAGTTGAGATTTTTAACTCAACAATGAATTTTTTGAATTTCTGCAGAGCGTGAGTGCAAAAGTATTGTTGCAAGCACATATTTAAATTTAATTAATATATTGGATAANTCACAGACACCGGCAGTTAGTGCTACGGGAGCGTCCGCTGCGAGTTCATCACCGGCACAAACGACTGTCACGACGGGACCGGTGAACACAGGCTTTGATTTTTGTGCTTTGAGTTCACCGAAACTCATCGACGCGTTCACAATCGGAAACACTATATACTTCGGTGAAAAGGGAAAGTTATACAGCGCTCGGATGTCGGCTCAGGGCTGGCATTACAACAATGAAATGACGAGTAAACAGCTGTTCCCCGGATGTGAGAACTCATTCATTGAATATAATTAATGGGAAATTGATTTTAACAATAAAAATGGTTAACCCTTTGTATAGCCGACGGTTTTGATCGTATTGTAAGCGCCGTGTATTTCGGTTCACAACAAGAGTGCGACCAATTGAAGATCAAATACACACACGTCGACTGCACCAATATTGCCGCCGCTTTTGATAAAGTGCTGTTATTTGGACCATTGAAAGGCTCCTATGGCGCACATTTTTTATACAAAGGCTACACAACAGTGGGCGCCCCGGGAGGCGATATCATAGTCGCGCCGATTAGTGATCCAAAGGACATGCCGTGGGGTTTGCCGGTTGAGGGGCCACTAGACGGCCCATTCTGGCCGTCAGGCACTAATAATTCTTATTTTTGTGCCGCCTATCACCCCATCAATCGGTTTCTATTCCTCAACAAATTTGAGTCACAGAAGTATTAAATCATACATTCATTGTTTATAATGAAAATTATAATTAAAATTTAATAAAATGTCAATTTATCTGCTTTTTAGGCCCGGATTTCCAGGGAAATACCCGCTGTATTTACGAAAGATCGACGACCAAGTGACCAATAATTATACTTATCTGGAGCCACCGCACCAATACTCGGCTCTCATTTACGCAAATGACAATCTGTTTGGAGTCCACTCCTCCTCTGATTGGCATCTTCTGGACGTTAGTGACAAGAATAAGACCCATTTGGTCGGACACAGCCAACCCGTAAGCAATATATTGACAAATGTGTTAACGCTTTAAATTATTATTTCAAAATCAATTCTCTATTTTAAGACCAATTGGAAAGAGTTTCTCAATTGTGGGCTAAAGTCACCCCTTTTTGATCCGATGTTTACGACCCACAGTCCGGCCACAACTTTAGCCACAACTTCAGCGACAAATACAAGCGTCAGTAATGGCGGACAAACGCCCTCATCGGCCGCTAATGACACAACTCTTTCAACCGGTGACACAAGCGCTGACACGAGCGGAACCGTTGGATCTACTAATACGAGTAGTGTCACAACGCCTTCGCCGACCAAAAAGTCCAGTAATACTACTTTTTGGATCATTTTGATTGTCGTGATTGTAATCGTGATAATCATTGCAATCGTTTGTGTCATCTTTTGCTGTAAGTTTTACATTGAAAAACAATGATATATTTGTATAATATCTGTCATTATTTAGGCTTTAAATCGAAAACACCCCCGAAATCGGCGGACAAGAAGTCCGAAAAGAGTGGACCGAAATCAAAGGTCGAACCCTCGGGTGGGGCTAAAGGGAAGGGCGATAAGAAAAGCGACGAAACCGTGCGATCGGGCCTATAATTTGTTTTTTATTTCTATTTATTTGTATCTTATTTTACCATTTTATTCAATATTCATCTAAATTATCATCATTTTATTGTTTACTAAAAAATCAAATATTTATTTATGTATTTTTTCAATTCATTAAACTTATTTCCAACCTTTATCTATAGTTACAATAAAAGCGTTACAATAAAAAAATTACAATAGCTTTTAAACAGGTTTTAATTTTTAGTTATAAAAAGCTTTTAACATTAATTCTCAAACAGTTTAAGCATATTTTGTGGCAAACAAGTAATTATTTAACCATAAATTGAAAATAATATTTTAATAGATTATAATCTTAAGGTTAATTATGACTATAATAGATTTGTGGCCTAAACTATTTTAAATGAAAATACAAAACATAATAATCTAAAACCTTGATTTTGTGAGCTCGATGTAATTTAATTAAAAAATTTAATTTCAACAAAAAACTAAAAACTTTAGATCAAATATAACATTACTGTAACTGAAAATATCAGTACAAATGGCAGTACAATGTAAATTACATGTACTTCCAATTGGTGAGTTTATCATAATCAATATAGTTTTATAAAACTTTATACATTAATGAAACCAAACCGAGCAAACGAACACTTGTGAGATGACCTAGCAACAATAATTCCATATATTTGTCATTATTTCATTGTATTTAATTTATACAAACCTATTAACCAATAGAAATTAGTCCACAAAATATCATCATTTAGATCGAGTTGGTTTAACATAAGATTTATTTGGGTTTCATTGCATCTGTCAAAGCCATAGGTTGTGACCAAAACTGAATAAAAATTAAATCTAAGAAAAGAGCCGTAACTGAGGGCACGAATGAACACATCCTGAGAGGACAGGCGGACAGCGAAACCGCCCAACAAGAAGATCGACATAAAGAGGGCGACGCCCATAGTTGTGGCCAATTGATAGTTATCGGCAAATAGGATACCAATCAAATTGCCCACAGAGTTGGCGATAAACGCAACAAATATCTGGCCAAAGGAAATATGATTACATATCATATGTAACTAAGTTTAGTAAAAATTATGTTTAATTATTGTTTATGAAATTATGAATTTACCACGTTTAGCGCGAAGTACGAGTACCGGAAACTGTCGGACAACTGGCCGGTGGAGTAAAACATGATGGTTGCGAACGTAAATGCTATGACAATAGTGACGGGTATTTCGACAAAGCATTTGCTCCAATAGTAAGAACTCGTTGAATACCATCGGTTCCGGTGTTCGTTGAGAAATACCCGCACTTCGGTCGGGAAGACCAGTAGAGTGCAGGCCATCGACACAAAGCCCAGACAGCCGTTCATGAAAAACAGCAATTTGACGTTTTCAATCACATCCGACTCTTCGCTCACAATTTTAAGCGCATCCTTCAGTGATGTGGTAATAGATAGTGAACTGTTGGTCAGGTGTAGGTCCAGACACCCGTCCTCTTTGCCCACATCCCAGCCGTACAAATAACTCAACATAAAAGCTATAAAGAGGCAAAATAGACTCAAACCCATACTCGCCATCCAATCGTATCTCAACTTAAATATGGTTAAATTGCTTTTAATGAAATAGTTTGATATATTTAGCAAATACTTACAAAACATATTATGCCTCTTAATGTCAAATAATATAAGTGATAGAAATTGAATTGCAATTTATGACCGGATATTGTTTTAGAAATTAATTTGCTGTTTAGTTGACATTCGTCTCGGATTTCAATCAACGAGCACTTTGTTGTGTCGATTAATTTTTTGATGGCATCACTTGTGTCCTCAAATTTTTCAGCAAACTATTGATTAGATTTTAACATTTAAAAACTCAATATTTTTTATAGATTAAGTTTTAATAATTATGCGGTTAATTTATCACATTTTAAACAGACCTCTAATTTCAATGAATTCTTACGAATAGCAGATTTAAATCCATTGTTAGGAAAGTTTGACGATATCTTCAACAAGAGCTCAATTGGGAGGATATCTGGAGCGCAAGTAATGCCACAATTGTTGAGATGGTCTTTGAGATGATTGGGTCGTCCGGCGAACACACAGTGACCGCCCTTTGAGAGCACAT